AAACTTTTCATAGGGGGAAATGTTTTGTAGGTTTTTTTCTTTCTTTTTAAACACCTCTAAATAAGTTGGGGGAAGGGAGAAAACATTTAGCAACTTTTTATTAACAGAACTTGAAGGAGTACCTTAATGTCTCACCCTACAATATTTTTAGAGGCTGGTCTTATACTGAGCATCTACATGACGTTATTTGAATCATTGATGATATAAATCAAAGAAGACAAGCAACTATTGCCCTCCACTTTTCAGACCTCTACAGATGCCCAGGGACATCTGGGACTGATTTAGAAACGTGGCAGATTATGGTCTGACTGCTTCTACGGACTGAGGGATCTAGGTAGTGGCCTGTGCTGGAGCCACAGCCTTGAGACAGAACTGCAGCTCATACAGTGAAGTGATTGTGCCAGTTGCACATGACCATGTGTGGCAGGCCTTTACATCAGTGCCAGAGTACTGATATGAATCAGGTTCTTCTCTTAAATCCACAGGGTGTGAGCTGCATTGACTCATTTCCAGCTATTTGGATGGCCTGCTGGAAGTCCTCACCAGCTCCTCAGTCTGCTCCAGCTCCAGTTTGTTAGGCCTTGGTGGTGGACTTCAAGAAAGGGTACAGAGATACCTTTGAGCATCTTGTACCACTCTGTTCCCAAAACCTGCTCCACTGTCTTCAACAGTTGATGTGGAAAACCTAAATGACCTTATTTTAAATTTTTTTTTTTTTTTTTTTTTTTTAAATTCTGACTTTGAAATGTCCGTGACCCAGACTCGTCCAGGTGGTCTGGCAGTACGCGTGACATCTTGACTCCAGTTCTCATAGAGCTTTTCAGCTCCATCCTCTGGGTGTCATGTCCGCACATTCGTATTTCCTGTTTTGCTGACCGATGAGATCTTATTTCACTTTTCAGCAGGCTAGTAAAAAGTTCTTAAAAAAAAAAAAGATAACCTTACTTGTTCTTTGCTTTCTTCCAACCCAGCCTCCAATGGACCTTAGGAGTTGCGATAGCTGAGCTTTGGCAAAGTTCATGATGGCTTTTAGGGCTGTTGGTGGAGCAAGACAGACCTTTCTGCTTTGCCTCTCAGAGTAACAGGGTTTTATTTAGTTATAACATTTAATGGAGGCTCCTTCGCCTCCTGAAGTTTGCTGCGGGGCACAGGGGCGCCCACTCCTTGAGGGCAGCAGCTCCGCTGGCCCAGCGGCACCCCCCACCCCCCTGGGGCAGCTCCTGCCCCACCTCGCCCCGGCCGCAGCCTCCCTCCGCTCCGCGCTCCCCGGTTCCGCCGGGGGAGCCGCTCCTCCCCGCCGAGAGCCGCCGGGGCCGGGGGC